ATTTGAAGAATGTCATACGGCCACTTTATTATGATCATAACACACAAAGGCCCCAATCAGGATTGGTCCCCATTTTGCTTAGCACTGTAAAAAATCATATGAAGACAGTCTCTGCCTCAAAGCACTTAACTAATTTTACACTTTAAGTGGGTGCAACAAAGAGGAGGAAGAGGATATGGGGAAAGACCTGAGTAACAGTAATAAGATGAAGTCATCCCACACAAGAAACTTGGACAACTTGATGGTTCCAAATACTTCATTATTTCAATTTTTAAAATATATGGGGACAGATGAGGGGTGAGAATAATGGCATTAATAAAAGAGGAGGAGTTAATAAACATAAGGGAGGAAGAGAGAAGGATGGAGAGAGAGGAAAAAGGACAGTGGAGGTTGAAGGAGAGAAGTCAGGGCATTCAGCTAGTCAACAGATAATTACGCCCAAAATTCAAACCATAAAAGTTAGTCTGCAGACTGGCATGTGAATGTGCCTCACCCTTTGCCCTACTTCTGCAAATGGTGCTTACTGGGCAAGCTCTGGTGCTACTGGAAACTGACTTAACCCCCAGAAGTGTTATCTTTCCCAGCCCACATGGAGTTTACTGGTGTTTAGAACCCCAAGTGGGGAGTTGTGTCCCTGCAGGCAGGGGTTGGGGGGAGAGGGAAGGAGGAGGAGGCAACGTTTCTAACGTCTGAATAAATAAATAAAGTGAAATAGGAGGGGGTGGGGTCCCAACGAACATGATGTACCAGGGTCCCAAATTGCTCTAGAGCAGTGTTGGGCAACCTGCGACTCATCAGGGTAATCCGCTGGTGGGCCAAGAGACAGTTGGTTTACATTGACCGTCCATAGGCACGGCCACTCGCAGCTTCCAGTGGCCGCGGTTCTCGGTTCCCAGCCAACGGGAGCTGTGGGTTGCCGTGCCTGTGTACGGTCAATGTAAACCATCTCGTGGCCCACCATCAGATTACCCTGACAGGCCGCAGGTTGTCCACCATTGCTGTAGAGGGGCCTGCCTGGAAAGGATTCCCCCTCATCAAGTCACAACAGAGGGGTGGCTGCACCAAACTGAAAAGGTGATCCTTGCCTAGGCACCCTGTGTGCATTGGTTGATCCAGGGTTGATTTCTGTTGGCGCGACTGCACTCATTGACCCTAGTTAAAGCCACCCCTGCTATTCAGGCAAGAGACTCATTCTATATTTGC